CATGAAGGAACAGGATATTTCTATAAGGATGTGGCGTGATACTAGTCACGTGACCTCGCTGACGCAACAATACGTTAAACTTGTTTCGAATATATACATTATTTTAAAAACAAGTGAAGTGCGTGCTGTTTGTTGATTATAGAATTTATTGCCACCAAGTCACAGACACCTACTGTAGAAGTATCCTTAGCCAAATACATCCATATATTGACATTACTATATATATATACTACTAAAAAGTAAGTTTTTGACACTGGACAAAATTAATATTGTAAGTTTTGAATGTTTAAATGCTTTGCCATAGAATTAAATAACTTAAATGGACATGATTAGTTATCAACCCTGCAAAATACAGGTGGGGAGGAAAGGGTTCCCAAAACAAATTGCACCAGGGCACCCAAAGACCCTAAATCTGGCCTTGGGTATTTAGCAGGATTTTTCTCTTTTCTTTGTAGGTATCATTATTTCACTTTTATATTCTGATATACACTTTCTCCTGAATGATGTAGCAAAACATTAATGGTTCTATAACTACAGAAATTATTTTTCATTTGATAATGTAATGAGCAAATACTTGTTTCATTGGGTGTACATTAGTGTAGTCTCTTCAATGGTTATCTTGTACATGCTGTACAATTGCATCACATGGAAGGCTTGACCGCTTTGAAATATAACAAAAAGATGGACATTGACACTTCACTGTAAATAATAGTTTTTATGATAAAATAGCCTCTGCCATTTTTAAACAATACAATCTTTAATCTTTTTAATGAATATTGAGATTTACTGTCACGTTATAACAATCCCACAGCTGGAAGTGTGAGCATGTTGGGTTTCAGTCCTACAATACTCAGATTGCTAATCAAGCATTTTAACCACAAGGCCCCTATAGAAATGATCCTATTAATTAAAACAGTTGAATAATTTATGGTTACATTGCATGTATGCATGCTTCTAATTTTAATGTACTAGTTTATTGCTATCCAATTGATGACCTAAGACAAAATGATCATCGTAACTTCTTGTAATTTGCCTGTTACATATAATTAAGACTATTCATTATTGATTGTAATTATTATTTCAGCAGCTACTCTGATAGAAGTTATTACATTAACAGCATATTTTGTAAGTTAAAAAGCTGTAAAAGCTTGAATAGAAAATACACAAAAAAGTCGCTTTCTTTGCAACACCACATTTGTACAAATTAACTCAACTGTTAAATTCAAGAAATGATGTGGCATGAATTCTAATTCAAAGCATTTTACATTATGTCATTAAGCAGTAGACCTACAGTGGTTTTTATTGGATTACAATATGCATTTTTTTACTTCCAAATGTTAAAAAATTTAGTGTAATAAAACCTTACTGTATAGGAATGATGCTTCAGTATTGAAAATTTTTCTTCTTCTAACCAGAAGAGTTGTGTATTCCATTTTGCCCTGAATTACTCCTTTTTAGTAGATATGTGGCTGTTTTATACAAACAACTTTTCCTACATGGTTCTAGTGCCCTAGTTGTTCAAATGGTCACACGTAAATCAATTCCTTTTGATTGTAGATTCTAATTGTTAAAGGAAAATTGCAATGATCGCAAAAATTAATCTCATCACCGCAGTAGCAGTGTGTATTCCCCATGTTGAATAAT